TTTAAAATTATATCCGAAAATAAGCACCGCTTATAACAAAAAAAGGGTGCTTAATTTCGGAATGGTACGGTATGACTTTTTCTTCAAGTTCTATTCCTCTATTTTGTTAGGCTTCCTTTAATACTAAACGTTCTATTTTTTGTATTTTATTAACATTTCTTTCAACATTTTTTCTTTAGTTTGCTTTAACTTATAGCTTTTTTTCAATATTTTGTAATAATTTATTACAATTAAATTGAAATTTCGGAAATTGCGAAGGGATTTCTAAAGCAGATTGCTAAGTTGAAATTAACGCATTGGCATTTCTCAAATCTCTTAATGCGCAGAAACTGCATAGTAACTATGTAGTTACGATTAATTTTAATAGTAATTATGTAATTAAGATATTCAAGTTTCTGTAAAGTTTTTAATCAACTATTTTCTGCGATTAAGACCAGGATTTACTAGCATTTTATCAACCTCTTGCATTTTTCCAAAAATACCTCTAATTAACGGAAGAATAGTTATAAAATCGAAGATTTGATGAAATATATCCTTTATAATAGCCAGCCCTACCGAATAATTGATTGTGGGGCAATTTTTTGAACTCAATTAATTGATTTGTGGCACAGTCTCGATGAGTCAATAACAGTATCATATATTCGCCATCAATATTGGTAATTTCTATTTAAAAATCGGGGTCACGCTGGGTACTATATGCAGCGCTCTATGTGTACTATTTCGTCATTAATTGAGTTTCAATTAATTTCATGATATTAATCTTAATTGATTACAAAAAAAAAAATTAATTATAATTAATTTTCGTAGGCCTGATAATAACCTACCAGGATTTTATGCTACAGTTAGGGAGGGATCCAATCACTGATCCGAATAGCCGTCTAACCGATAAACCGACCCGAAAAAATTACATGTTTTTGACAAACCGGTTTGCTATAATGGAGACTTAAAGGAATTTTTTCTTCGGGCTTTGTTTGATGAGTCCATAGTTATGCGAACATAGCTATATAATATTAATAAAATTTTTGTAAAAAATATATTATTTGTAAACATAAAATTTTATTAAGTTCAAATATACAACAACTTAAATAATCTACATTGATTTTTTATATATAAAAAAAAAAAATTTAAAGAAAAAAAAATATACGGATGCATCTATATACAAATGTGCTATAATACAGTACGGTATTTCTAGTCTATTATACTGTAATACAGCATTCTCTAGTCTATTAATATAAGTATCTTTAGTCTATTAAAAAAATATTTGGTTTAAACCTTTCTTTTTCTATGTTATATATATATATATATATCTATATACAAATAATATATACGTGTACATACGTAGATACTTAGAGACGTATGTGCGTAATAAATCTTACAGTATTATTACATCAAAATTTCTTCAAGAGTCCCTCCTTTTAAATAACATACAGGTAACAATTTCTTTAACTAATACAACATGATCCTCAGTACACAAAGTATCACAATAAAAATCATTTACACGATTCTCTTCACCATGACCATAAGGACATTTTTTAAAGAATATAGGAATTGTAGTTACGGTTATTAAATCATAATCAGGAGCTAATAAATCATTTGAATTTAAAGTAACAGGAATTTCAGATTTGCAGTGTAAACGATTTGTAAAATTCGTGATTGGATTATTTGAAGTGGTATGAGTATTAAGATATTGATAATTTTTTTGATTAAAGTTATGATTATAATTATAATTAAAATTGTTATAAAAGGTGCATTTCGAATCATACTTCTTATCTTTTAAATAATTACTATTATTAAAATTAAAATTTGAAGTATTATTATTTAAATCATAACTTTGTGTTATGATTGGTTGATTGTAAGATAATTTATCATCATGAAAATTAGTTTCGTTGGTTGGATTATAAATTATAGGGACTTCAACATATGAAGAAGAATCTGACATTTCATCCCAAACATCATTATCGTCATATCTAGTTCCTGTTACAGTTTCTTCAGAATCTTCATATGACATGGTACGTGCACAATACCCTACATCGTGATTTTTGAAAGTATTTTCATAAACATTGGAAGTTGGAGAAAACTCATGAGAAGAAATATTTTGTACAGGAATAACTTTAAATTCCGGAAAAGATAAATATAAATCAATTCTTTTGGAAATTAATGCTTGTAAAGGTTTAATCTCATAAAATTTTGCTTCACGTTCTAATTTTTGTAGGGTAGAAAGAGGTAATTTTGGCAAAGTAGAAGTTCTCAAGAACTCTAAGATGTAAACAAATAAGGATCCATCACGATCAATGAATAATTTATCAGGCCAAGGTAATTGTGGATGTAAAGTTCTATAAGGACTTGAGTTGGAATCGGAATTCGGAGATTGAAAGATAAAAAAAAGTTCTGATAAATAAGATGGATATGTGCAAAGAGTTTGTTGTCTTGTTGTGAATTGCATCTCTCCGACGGTTAGTTTTATTGGAACTGAACTAAAAGATTATAATTACAAAGAATTAATAAAATTATAATTACAAAGAATTAATAAAATTAAACGAGAAAAAGATAACAATATATTATTTCTGTTATTTAATTTATTGTAAAGAAAACTTACCCTGGCATATCTTCTTCCTCTCGAGTTTCTTTACTTACATTTCTTTCAGGATAAACTTTTTCACTGTTACGATTCACATTATTATTTAGAGGTTTTAACGAAGCGTCGAAAGAAGGTTTTGGTTTTTCATCAGAGCGCCTTTTACTATCGCTATTTCTATTATTATTTTCTTGCGCATTTATTTCAAGTTTTTGATCTATACTGTTAGGAATATGAATTTGATTTTCACAATTTTGACCTTTCTTAGGTTTATGTGAAGAGTAAAAAGATTTAAAGTTGAGTTTTTTAAGGCCACATTTTTGGAATAATTTTGATATTTGTTTTTTAATCGCCATTATTTATGTTTATAAAAAATAAAAAAAAAGAATTTACGAATTTTTTTTTTTTTTTTTGGAATTCCGAGTGATTAAATGTTTAAAGATTGGTTATTTTTATCTATTCTTTGTGCATAATCTTATATTGCATATTTATAAATATGCATTAGAATATTAAATATGATTTGTAAGTCTTCAAGCGAACTCTTTATATGAATTTTTTTTATTGTTTACGATCACGAATAAATCCCCACGTTTCGATATATCATCGTACAGCACGAACTCCACGTTTCGATAAATAGTCGATCAAGAAAAAATCTTAATTTTTTTTATGTATTCTTATATGTATAATTGTAATGATTTTTTGAGAATTACAATACAAGTTTTGGATCAATTCAAATACTATTTAAATATATAACGATAATACTATCGGAAAAAACATTAATGTGCATTAATATTCCTAAAACGTATCCTGATAAGCAATAACTTTGCGTCATAAAAAAAAATCTTGGCTCCCGTTTTAGAAAATGCAGAATGGTAGATCTATCTTTTTGTGTGAAATAATTACTTGTAACTTGTGAAAAAAAAAAGTACGCCAAACCCAAAAAGGTATTCAACCAAATAAAGAAATAATTTTTATTGTCACG